ATAATAGTTGTTAGTTGCAGCCCTACCAATGTGTTTTAGATTTTTACAAAGAGCTCAAAGGAACCTTTAAGCTGATTTAAAAAGAAGTTACCCTGACAGAGGTGCTGGACTTGGCTTTTAGTGCATATTCTTGAAATGCCAGGTCAACATGATCACCTCTAACTATTTTCATTTACTTATATAGACTTGAAACTCAGACACCACCTCTAAATACAACTGGTGTGCTGAAGTGTGGATCAGTCCAGAGTTAATTGAACCTTTGTTTGTCCTAACAGATCAAAATGAGTAGAAGGGACGCTCCGCTTTGTAAGCAACTGTCCACACCATGCTTTGGGAAAGGTGAGTAAATACTCCAATGTATGTTGACCATAACAGTTTTTCCCCTTGGATGGAATTGTGCAATGTGTGTGCAGCTCAAGGCAAGTTCGACTTAAGACATGAAGACTTTTCCAATGTCACAAGGAAAGATCCTGTGTTGGTATTGGAGCATGGGAGGGATATGTGCTGGCAAGGGTAGAACTGTTCAAACTGTAGAAATGCAAGAAATGGATTGAAAATGGCACAACAAATCAACTTCCTCTCTAAAAACTGTTCCCATATTTCATGGTCATCTTATTGCCCCACTCACATGTTAGCAGCCAGTTGTGACATACCAGCTTGGATTCGCAGCCCCAGTTACCATGACGCCTCTCAGTAGCCTAAAATAGGGAGAGAGGGACACTCAACACAGCAACAACTAGCAGCTGCATTATACATACAGACACCAGACCACATAAAGAGCAGAGCAAAGCCTGACCGAGGCAGATGGAGTGAAAAAACTGCAGAGACGCACCGTAGATACAAGACAGATACAGACACCAGACCCGAGGACTTGATAGCATCAAGAGGTTTCAGCAACACTTCAAAGTGTTCTGTAGGACCCGACATAGAGTGGCAGACATATGAAAATAGTGGAGCCAAAGCTAAGAAGTAGGAAAGAGACAGAAGCAAACACATGAAAGCTGAAATACTTGACTCACCAGGCAGAGACTGAGAGGGACAAACATGGCCCAAATCACTACAGAAGGTAAGAGACAGACAGAGCTTCCACTAGTGAATATAAAACTGTTTATTGACACTGAGACACAATGTGATGACATTTACCAGTTGGTTCATTCATGTCTTTGGTCTGAGGCAGTAAAGTGGGGAGATTTGATGGATGATACACTTTCTGGTTCTTTGACAAGTACATTAGCTTTTAGCCAAAGTGATAAGTGAAACAAGACAAATGTAAAAACAAAAGGAGTATTACAAATCACTGAAAACTTTTTATAAAAATGTTAGGCCATCTCAAAAGTTCTATACTTTTGGAAAAAGAAATCAGCTGAATAACCGAAGTTTTGCTAGAAATGTTCAAAGACTCGTACACAGACTGCTAAGTAAAGGTCAGGTTTTTATAGCTGGGGTATGTGGGTCAAGGTCATCATAAAGGCTGCTCAGCTGTTCCAGTAGAGAGAGAGTGTGCAAGTGCGAAGAGGCTCGTCAGGAATGACAGCTTCTGAAATGTGCTAGCCATGGAACAGGCCGCAACTTTTGTGCAAAGTGTCATCTGTGAACATGCCAAGATTTTTCACTTTTCAAAAGGATTCAGTTGCATGTAAACCACTTAGGATGATGAATGTGCAGCACAGAAGTTTGCCATTTGTCTTGTGCTTGTTGATTCAAATACCTCCAGGCATTGATGCTGGAACTGGCGGTGTCGGTGTTCGAAACACTGACGACATGATGATTACAACAGCCAAACATCTCTGCTGAGGGGCAGTTGGATTGAGACTGTAGCGTTTGCTCCAGGGAGATGAAGCAAGCAGCCAGAGCTATTTAAAAACCAACTCTGCTGTTCTTCATCTGCTCCGATAAACAAATGAATTCACAGAGTCAAGTCTAAAAATAAGACCCACGTTCATACCATGGGTATGTAAGAGAACCAGGTCAATACAAATAAATATCACTGTGTTCCCACCAAAAGGTCTTGAGAACCAACCATTATGTAAGTAATACAAATAAAACCATAAAGGATATTCATTTTCTATGTAAAGTAAAAGCTAGACAAATACTGTGAATTAGAATGAAAATCCCCTGGGAATGTTTACTCACTTTAATGTTCATATGTTTGTAATTGAACTTGATCTGGTAGTTTCTGCTAAATGCTAACTTAGAAATTGAGTTGCAGTTGAGGAAAAAACAACTTTGACCAACTCAAAAGAATAAAATTGCAAAAAGCAGGAAAAACAAGCCTTGAAACTCAATCTGAAGTCAGCCGTCAACACAGCTTCTAAAATCATGCCTCCTAAATATCACATTCATTGATTTCCTTATGTTTGATTTATCCATACAAACCAAACACAGATATGTATCAACAGACAAACACACTGTGGAAGCAAATTCTCTTCATGTTTTCACTTCTCTCTGGGTTACATACCATTCCCAGTGCTCCAAGGGTTTTAAGGAGGTCACTCTGCCAGTATAGCACACCCCGGACAGGGATTAACTGTGTTTACTGTAACCTGCCTGGCACACTGGCAGAAGACGTAGTCAGAACTGAAACATAAGTCAGCCACTAAAGACATGTTTACTGTGACACGACATGTAAGTATAAATGAGACTTTGCAAGTTCATTGCTTAGGCCCCACCACCCCTCACCTGAGACTCATTTCAACGCCTCATGTTTATCATCCTGGTATTTGTATTAACTGCCACCACTAAGATGTTATCTTCATTTAATGCAGTCATATATTATTACATTGAGAGATGAGATGAAATATGATGCGTCGGTAAGTTTGGCTGACTCCAAAACCATGTTATCACATTGAAACTCTATCTCTAGTCTGCAAAGTTGATGTGTAACACTAGCTTTTGTTGTATGTGTGTTCCTACTACGGGCATGTGGTTCTCAGCTCGTGTGCCAAACTTGGCTTAGCACCAGCCGTATCTGTCTACTTGTCATTAGGAGTGTATATCAGAGCCTGCTGCATGCATGTGCCAGGACGATACACTGAATGGCATAAGACTTAGCTCACCGGCGTGTTGGAATAACCAGCCCTAGTCAATCCGACCTAAGTCCTTAGCCTGCATTTCTGCATTCTGTTGTTTAACATAACTATATGGACCAACAAGAGAATTGATGTGGAAAAACAAATGGAGTTTTAATTTGACATAACCCAGCATTTACTGTGAACTTCCACAAAAAAACGTTGCCCAGAATCATTGATAAAATCACAAAATTACAATCTAAGAATTATAGACATTTCTTTGAGAAGGTTTTTTAAACAAAGCTTTTCTTTGCCAAGACAAACAAGGCCTGAGTAAAACTGACATTTTTCGTGACCCTTTTAGACATGCCGCGGCTTTTCCCAAGAATTTCAATTAATGAAGTGGACGAGTCGGTTCGCCTCATAGCAGAGAAGGTTTACGCCTCGGCCCTGAAGGAGGAAGACACCAAAGATGCTATGGCACTGTTCACTGTACCAGAAGACTGTCCCATTGGTCTGCATGAGAACAGAGAACGGGCGCTGCAGAAGGAGCTGGCTGAGCAACAATCTGAAGAGTCTGCTAAGAAGTAGGAAACACAACTGCACAGCCCTTGGGTCATACAATTCTAAATAACAAAAATACTACAAACAGTTATTGAGGAGATTTTTTTTGTGTGTCAATAGGAAGAAGAATTTCATGTTGAAGCGTTCACAGTCAGTATCTCTACAGTTACCAGTCAGTGGTGACTGGCCCCCGGCTGTGGCTTCCCCAATGCTCTCACCAGTAACAGCTGAGCCAGGGAGCTTCCCAGACTTTCAGAGAGTAACCATCAGCGGAGATTACTGTGCAGGGGTAAGCCTGTTAATGCACAACTACACATACCACACACGTGAAGGATGCTTTCTAGATTTATCTACAACAATTTCTAGATTTTAGGGTTTATTCTCAGTACAGTGCAGACTGTAGATGAAATAAAAATACAACAAATAATATAACTCTAAGTTAAGGTCAAATCAATCCTGCTGAAGCATGAAATAGTGTGGTTTTTGAACTGTTTTTTCTTTTCTTTAAAAGAACTTAAACTTTTGAGGTTGAGAAATGCATTCACGACTTGTATTTACTTTTTTATGACATTTCCAGATCACAGTTGAAGATTATGAGCAAGCGGCTAATAGTCTCCACAGGGCACTGATCATCAGAGAGAAGTACTCAAAGCTGGCCTACCACCGTTTCCCCAGAACCACTGCCCGAATCCTCCGCAATGCCAAAAATGAGAAGTGGCGGGAGGAAGATGAAGTCTTGCCAGGTGTGTACACACTCTAAAGTTAACACTCAACCACACCACACTGAAGTGTTTTTCTATACACTTTGTTCATACAAGAGATCTCCTGTTTGATCTGCAGTAGTTTCTCCAGCCCAAATGACCAACACTACTTTTTGGTCAGGAACAAAAACATGGAGGAAGATGCAAATAGGTTTGAAGGATGTGTGGATGGCCCTTTAATATCCCAGGTTAACAATCCCTCAGACTGAGAGCAGAGACAAGCAGTGCAATGTTTAGCCGCTGAGCTGACTTTTTTTCATAAGGCCTGTTATGATAATTACTAAAGGCCTATCGACTTATCTCACGCTATAAAAACATCAACTTGATAAGTTTGCTGACCTCGATAAGTTGTGAATTGTGTTACATGCATGTTTATTTCTAAAAGAATGTCACAAACAAGTTGTGCAGCTTCTCTCTGAGTGAGGCAGAGTTTACAGAGCCTCGCCCTTAGTCACTCACACAGAGCGACCCGCACGGTGAAGTAGCCAAAATGATTGGCTGGTTTACCTGTCTGTGCACACTGTTAGTGCTCTAACTGAGCATGACGGAAGTCTTCAGCCATAAAGAAGTGCACCGCTGAAGCAGAGACAATAGTCAGGGGTTTGTGAGTGAGTCACAGGAAAGTTGTCGCTTTGGTTCTTTATAACATAAGACAGATATAAATGCTGTAAGGAGTTCAAGGTGGCAAAACCTTTTTTTTACGTTATTTCTTTTTCTCAAGTGAATATTTCACATCAGAGAAAAGCAACATTTTAGCACTTACTATTCCTCCCTGGGCTGATAAAAGCCCATGTCTCACATGCCATTACTAACACATATAGATAATTCCACGTTTGATCACAAACAACTCGGCCATATGGAAAAACTCAAATTTCCTTGTGGAGTCTTGGACAACTGAGTTGAAAAGGTTTTCAGAGGAGCTTCATTACACAAGTGTTATCCATAACTTTCACCTGTTTAAATTCAAAATTGTTAGTATTAATGATTTCCATTTTTAATTGTACTAAACTGTCTTCAACGATGTTATCAAAATATATACATTTATTATGGTGCACAATTTATATAATCATGATAATCTAATGGAGTCTCAATATTTCTCATGAGGTTGAGATGCTGCTGTTGCTCATGTATCTCGGTCCAATTATAAAGCATTCTCTCACCATACCTCCATCACCTGTAGAAATCTGGCCTTCCCCTCGTGAAGGGGAGGACCCATATTCCATGGAAGGTATTCCTGAGGACTTGAACTATGAGCTGCAGATGAAGGATGGCATAGTTCATGTTTACGACAATGCAGAGGCCCTAAAACAACAGCAACTCCACAGCCTCCCTTACCCCGACCTTGAGACGTTTGCCATAGACCTGAGTCATGTCCTTGCTATGATAGCTGATGGTCCGACGTGAGTACACAAATGTTTGACTTATTTTTACCTATAATATATCAAGTAGGATTTTACACAGTTTTTCACTAACATTTCACGATATGGCAGTTTCTTAAGATGATAAATCTCTGATGTTCGGTTTTATTTTGCTGATTTTCTTTTATGTTGCATCAAAGGAAAACGTACTGCCACAGACGGTTGAACTTCTTGGCCTCTAAATTTTACCTTCATGAAATGATGAATGAAATGGCAGAGCTAAAAGAGCTGAAAGGTGTTCCACACAGAGACTTCTACAATGTTAGAAAGGTTTGTTGATAGTTTTATCTCTGTATACAAACTTTAGTGATATATATATCCAATTAAACCAAAGTTTGTTTTATCACCAACACAGGTGGACACACATATACATGCTGCTGGTTGCATGAACCAGAAGCACCTGCTGAAATTTATCCAGACAACATACCAAACAGAGGCAGATCGAGTGGTTTTGGAGAAAGGCAGTCGGAAAATCACACTCAAGGAAGTCTTCAACAAGCTCCACATGGACCCATACGACCTCACCGTCGACTCGCTGGACGTGCACGCTGTAAGAATAATTTTAAAAAAGTCAGTTCCAGTTTCATTGCTTCAACGCTGCTGCCACCTTCATCAGGTTTACCTTGCATGGTTTACATAAAAACACCAGGTCCTCAAAGTACATATATCAGATATAGTGACATGCCTGCCAACACTTAAATTCTTGCTTTCAAAGAACAACAGCACATTTCACTAACCCGTGCTTATTGACACAAGGATGCAATTAGTGTTCGTGCACTTCATACAGTGTTACACAATCATTTGATGTTTCATGCAAGGTCCTCAGTGTGTAATGTGAAAATAATCAGCACAGTCACTTTGTTGGAACAAAGACGTGATTATCAATAAGATTCATCCTCTCTCACCAATTACTCTCCCAGGGAAGACAAACATTTCACCGGTTTGACAAGTTCAACTCCAAGTACAACCCTGTGGGAGCCAGTGAACTGAGAGAGATTTACTTGAAATCAGACAACTACATCAAGGGAGAATACTTTGCACGTCTCATCAAGGTGTAGTATGTGTTTTTTTTTTTATCACATAAAGGTCCTGAACACTGGTGTTTTCATTCATCTGTTCTAAATAGGTTTTCTGCTCAGATTAAAGAAAAAGATAAAATTACATGTAAAACTCAATAAACCCATAAGGATGATAAGAATCAGGGCAATAGCTATAATTATTATAACCTTCTGGTTCACTGTATGCCACATCACGCTCTTGTCACTTAACTGCAAAATGAAACAGGACTGCTATAATCTTCTTACTGTCAGACAAACTGAAAAAGAGCAGAGAAAAGTCTTTGGCTAATCACCATTATTTTATTTAAAATGTTGACTGCATTTCTGTGGAGGAATGTTTTGTGTTTTGCCTGTCGGCTGCAACACTGGAACCAATCCTTACCCACAACTCTGTACAGTCCACTCACAGGGCTTCTTCATTCAACCAGAATTGGCTCAAATGGTACAGTGTGGCCTTGTTGACCACCTCTTTTCCAGTACTGGAGATACTGGCATGGAGTCACTTAGTGATGGTGTGTTAAATATCAATACATAAAATACGTCACTTTGGTCTTGCAAACTTATTTTGAAGTAATTAAATCCATAACAACCAAACACCAACAAAATAACAAAGTAGTTATAATGGTGAGTGCACACTGTACCCTGTCAAGGGTGCTGCACTGCTTCCATTTATTTTTATTTTTATTATTCAAGACATACAAAGATTTATTTTTGACAATAGTAGAATGAAATATGAAAGACCCTGGTATTATGTATACATTTATATTTAGTTCAAAGTTATCTTTCTCCTTCTAAACATGTGCACTGAATGTGTACTTGATGTATCACTTTTTTCTTTAGTGTATTTTGTGTGGTAGTCTGAGATGATAATGGCGTACGAGTATTGCTTATTCCTACAATGTTTCTGTGGTGTATAAATACCACTTCCTTTCTTAGCATGTAGAAATGGCACAGATATGAAGAAATATATGCAATCTGTCCAGTTGTTGTTACTAACATTCGCCTCAGCCTTATCACGAAACATTACAAACATCCTGTGGCTTGTGTTACAGGAAGTAGCTAAAGAGCTTGAGGAGAGTAAATACCAGCACGCTGAGCCTCGTCTGTCGATTTACGGACGCTCTCCCAGTGAGTGGGAGAGCCTGGCGAGCTGGTTCATCCAACACAAGGTCCACTCACCCAACATGAGGTGGATGATCCAAGTTCCTAGGATCTAGTAAGTTCATTGATAGCAGAGGCCGACTAAAACACAGCAAATTAGGACATATCTGATTAGATTAACACCAAAGGGAGTGGGACTGTTTGAAAGTGGGAAAGCTCATCTCAGAAAGTGTTATATTATTATTTTAAATACTGAGTGATAAAATTAGAGTCCATTTTGTCTTTTTTTAGTCTTAGTTTACAAAATCCTGAGTGGACTAATTCATAACATCCGTGTTGACAACTCTGAAGAAAGGCAGAGTTTCATATGACACGCATTATAAAAACATGACACACTAAGCTGTTCTAAATAAGCAAACAAATGCAAACATTTTTGTTGTTTGAAAGCTGATTTCATTCCTTTTATGTTGCAGTGACATTTTCAAGTCAAAGAAATTAGTACCACACTTCGCCAAGATGATGGAAAACATTTTCCTTCCCCTCTTTGAGGCAACAGTCAATCCGCAGAAGCACAAAGAAATACATGTTTTCTTGAAATATGTAAGTATTATTATGATGCTGGAATCTGAAACTGTTACGGCCCCAGCCCATGTCTGTGTCCTGTCTGTGTATGGTGTGTATGCTGTGTGGGTGTGTCTTGCAGGTTGCTGATTGTTGGCCGGCTGGAAGTTCCTGTGCAGGGCTCCCTGATTGGCTTGCTGTTATAAACCCCCTGCCGTGGGCTGTCTTTCTCTCTCACTCATCCCTGAGATCTCCATCCTGCTGCATCTACTTTTGTTATGTTCTGCACCTGACAACATGCACCACACATACTACATAGCACTCAAACACCCTCACACACTACTGACGCTCACTTTCACACTCCATCGCTCATTTCCGTTTATGTTAAATCAATAAAGCATATTGTAATTCGCTACATCACGCTGCCTTGTCTGTGTTGTTGCGGCCTCAGAGCCAGGCGTAACAGAAACAAACTGCAATCTTTTCAAAGTGGAAACTTCAGCTCTCTGGGGAGGAGACAGACAAGACTAAGTTATATCTTGGTACATTATATTCGCTGTCCTCCAGGTGACAGGATTTGACAGTGTGGATGATGAGTCCAAACACAGTGACCACATGTTCTCTTACAAAAGCCCAAAGCCTGAGGCATGGACCACAGATGACAACCCTCCATACACCTACTACCTGTTCTACATGTACGCCAACATCATGGTGCTAAACAACCTGCGCAAGTAAGTCCTGCATGTCTGTGCATGGAGCAACCATGCAAAAGATTCCAGAGTAGTTGAATGAAAGAAACATGTACTTCGTGTACATGCTCATTTGATTCATCTGCACACATTTTGTCATGTAGATATAAAGTATACTGATTAAAAATTAATGATTTGCAGAACAGTTAGACCTTGTGGTTCACACGGTTATGTAAAGTTTCCAAATTACATTATATTTTGCCAACTGCATCGTGCTGTATTATCATTTGTCTTATCCCAGGGAGCGAGGACTGAACACCTTCCAGTTTCGTCCCCACTGTGGAGAGGCTGGTTCCATCACCCACCTGGTCTCCGCCTTTCTCACCGCTGACAACATCTCCCATGGACTCAACCTCAAGAAGGTGCACTTCTCAATACTTAACTAGAGTTGTATACAAAAGTCTGTACATTGTGATAGCTTAAAAGGTGCCAATAAAAATATTGGATACTTTGTTTCAACATATACAAATTTGGGCCGTAATAGATAATGTTTTGGTACCAATAACAGAGATAGCATTTTCAGAGATTTCCAATTACTGTGGTGTCAACACTTCATCCTCCTCCCCAGAGTCCAGTGTTGCAGTACCTGTACTACCTGGCCCAGATCCCTATCGCCATGTCCCCTCTGAGCAACAACAGCCTGTTCCTGCAGTACTCCAAGAATCCTTTGCGGGAGTTTCTACAAAAAGGCCTGTGTGTGTCTCTGTCCACAGACGACCCCATGCAGTTCCACTACACCAAGGTCAGAACCACAAGAATGATCTTGAGCATTTATCTTCATTATCCTTTGAGGGTCGCGGGGCCTGAACCAATCCCAGCTACACCTGAAACAAATAAGCTAAAGAAAATCCATTCTTGAAACACAATTCACAGCTGAACCTAGAATTATACTTAAGGTATTGCTAAACTTTAGCACCATGTTACAAATGTTGCTTTTAACCCTTTTAGGAGGCCTTGATGGAGGAGTATGCCATCGCAGGACAGTTGTGGAAGCTGAGCACCTGTGATTTGTGTGAGATAGCCAGGAACAGTGTGCTGCAGAGCGGCCTCTCACACCAGGTATAGTTGCTTTTTGCTGTATCAGTTATATAGCTGGATTTTAGGAGGCAAAAAAGACCTCAGAGGGGTGACAATCCTTTCTACATATTTCACCATTTCCCTTTCAAGTTTTTGACAGTTTTGTAAAAACTTGCAGGCTGATGATAAAAACATCTAATGTTTCAACCCTACACAGTCTATTCAACTGAAAGCTACCCTTGTGAGGCAGCTGGACATCTCACAAGTGAGAAACCATCTTGCCAGGCTCCAAACTATTCACTTGTTGGCTAAACTACGGTGGTTACCTGTCTTAGGTGTTGAAACAGCAACAAGTGACTGTTAAACAACAATGGTGCTCCTACAGAGCATAGATTAGGACTGTGTGATATGACTATAAACATATATGAGACAGTGCAACATCTTCTTAAGGATCCCAAATACATTGTGGCATTAGTACAGTGTCTTCTCATCAACACTGATATATCTGTGATCAGCTAATATTGACCAGTATACAACATTGTTGTTAACCGAAACTGAGGCCAATGCTGGAGGACTCAAGCCTCTGTGTTCCGAGCATTGTAAATTTGGAGTATGCTTTGTATTCCAAGAATACCGAGGCAGAGTCCATCCCCTGTGACTGCAGGTTCATTTCTGACCTGGACCCCAGCTGCATGTCCTCCCTCACGCTCTCCCCTTAAAAAGCTGAGCTGTCTTGTCTATTAATAATAAAGTCATAAAAGCCCCAAAAATATTTAAAACATGTATTGGTCAAGCTCACGATAAGAAAAGATAAAATCTACAGACAGACAAGAGAGTAAATTACATTAGGAACACCTGCATCATGAAGACACGCAGTCCCTCTTTAGTACTCCCTGCCTAAGTTAGCCAAAGATCCAAAAAACGCTGTCCCAATGCTCCGAAATGTCTGGAATGATTCGAAATTAAACCTTGTGCCAGAGTTCATACTGCTACATGTGTCCTGCTCTGGAAAAACAGCCAGCCACATTTTGCAAGCTTCTCTATATTGACTTTACCTTTTCACCCGCAGGAGAAGAAACATTTCATTGGTTCCAACTACTTACAGGATGGACCGGAGGGCAATGACATTCGGCGGACAAATGTGGCACAAATCCGCATGGCGTACCGCTATGAGACTCTGTGCAATGAGCTCAGTTTTCTAGTGGATGCAGAGGTTGGCAATGGCCCAGTTGAGTGACTGAGTTTACCAGCACAAAGTGTACCTGGATACGTCCAGAACATAGGTTACACAACATTTTTTCATCATCTTTTATCAGATCTGAAAAAGGGGTTTCTTAGGATTTAACATTGACTTTTGTGCAGGCATTTGTGGGGAATACTTAATATAGCATGATAAAACTTGATCTTAAGACTGTATTCAATGTTGTGTCTATGAACTTTGCCAATCCCATAAGTGCCTTATTTTGACTAAGATAGAAGTTTATTTCCTTTTGAAGAGAGTATACATCTATTTACATTTTAGACACAAGAGAGTAAGGCACAGTCACACATAGGCGGATGTAGAAGCGATGAACCTTGTGGTGAATCTGTGCGAGTTAGGAGGTAAATAAAACCTAAGCTTCCTGGGCCACAGCAAACACTTTCACTTCGGTGAACCTTGACCTGTGATACTCGCTTTACATTTGCATATGTGTGACTGTGCCCTGAGGATGGCCACATTCAGAGGCAGCATATCATATTATTTCCAGAGTTTCCCAAAATTACAAGTTTGTCGATTAAATTATTTTTTTTTAAACTCATTATAATGTCAGACCTGTAATCCATTGCAAATGTGTAAAAAGAAAGAATTTCAGGCAGCAGTCAGATTTGCCTTTTCACAATTCATTGATTAATTGCATGCTTTTGTCTGAACTAGAGGCCAGGGAGATATTCTCAGAGTGATCCAGGTGTAACTGAATTACAACGTCTGTGCGTAACTAGAAATATTTTTCTTTGTTTGTCATTTTTCATAGATTTTAATATGTAAAATAAAGATCTGAACATAATAAAATAACATTGGCATAAGTAACCTGACACCTGCTGTTGCCTTAACATGCCATTCAGTCTAAGGAGCATGTATGAGGTATCATCAAAACATTTCTGCTGTAATAACAATTTACTTACCAGTAGTCTCCAGACCGAAGGGGGACCTCTTTCCGATATTGTAAGTCCTTAATGGAGTTAGCTCTAGACTGGACTAGATCAAATCCTTCTGATCAAAAAATTAGATAATAGACAAAAAATAATCAGCTGACCAAAAGTTTGTCTGCCACAAGTTTGACAGAAGAACCATGTTTCAGTTACTGACAAATTTTAACTTTTGTACTCAATTAGCAAGTGAAAAGCCCAATAGTCCAATTAACAGCAGATGGTTTTAGTTAGCTTGACTTTAGCATGCAGAGTAAGTGAATTATAATGGATTCCTTAAAAAGCATAAAAGAAGAATATTTGAAATACAAACTGACCTGAGAGGAAGTGAACGTCTGAGCAAACCACAACGTGTGAATGTCTTTAGGATGGAACGTGACTAAAATAACATACAGCTTCACCCGCCTGCCGAGCGTCACCGACACTCAGCCATGACAGTGTTTTCAGCAGCATCATCTGCAACATTCATTATTGATGTGACAGTCTGTGCTATTCTTGAATTAAATTAATATACTGTAGGCAGTTAATGATATCATAGATCCCTACATTTGAGAACAGGCTACTCTCGCCAAGTCATTTACTTTTAATACTAATACGAAGTGTATTCAAATGCAAGTACTAACTTCCCTTTAACTTATTTGAATACTTCCTCCACTGCTTTGTATATTTGATATATACAATAAATCATATCAAGTCATGATCATAAAACACAATGATGCCTGGATTTTATTGAACGGACTGTGAGGACTACTGCCCTGCTGTATGTGAAACACAATTGTACAACATTGGGGTAATATGTAAGAAAGACAGACGAAAAATAAAATTAAAAATATACCACATAGCTTTAATGCTGAATAAGTGCTACATTAAATCATTTAGGTTTTTATTGCATCAGATGTTCTTTGCATGTATAAATGTGATGGATAAATTTGTTTAAATGATCAATTTTACAGCATGTCTACAGGAGGAAGTGCTGTCAACCTTCAATTCCGTCCTAACACAAAGTCTTGAAAGTGCAAACAAGCAAGTAACCCTTTATTAAAGATTATACAGTGAGAACAAAGTCAGGTTACACACACCTTCCATTCAGTTTCATAAATGAAAAGCCTTCAATGATTCTCGAACTGGTATCAGTAAAATTATAGGACAATGCTTCCACCTTTTGGATTCAACATTACATTACACAGCAGGTTGAGTGATTAGGGCATATTTAAAGACATTTACATA